TTGCATTTGAATTCAGGAATTCAGTGTCATTTCAACCCTTTTCCAATCAGCCACAAAAAAAAAATAAGTAGTTGCAGAGACAACACAGATATGAACTACTGTTCTCTCAAAATCATCTGAAGTGGAGCTAAGTACTAGTCTCTACATTTCATACTAATCAGCTTAAGATCTTTACCTTAAAAGGACTGACTCATAATTAAACACAATTCCACACTGCACATAAGCCACTGGTGCAAAACCCTGGAGCAAATCCCGAGGTACTTCAAATTTGAAAGCCTGAAGGCACACACAGGAAGAAAATAATCTTCAGTACTTCCAGGAACTATGTAATCTTTGAAAAATCCAAGAAGTGATGGAAAACGTTTAACAAAAAGAAAAATAAACCCAAAGACATAAACTAGTAGTGACACTGCTGGCAGAACCAGAAACTGATGAGCAAATCTGCCCTTCTGTACCTCTGGGTTACAGGTGTATGCTCATGTCAAAGGACGGGATGTAAATCTACCTCTTTGTTTTATGCAAGACAATCATACCTATTCAGGAAGAGCTGATGAGATGGAAAAGACCCAATTCTATGTTGCTGTCACTGTACTGTACCTGTAAGGCGGCCTCCGTTTCTCCCCTGCGTACTGAAAGAGATCATCAGTGAAGAATTTGGGTACTTTGTAGTCCTCCAAGAGTTTCCTGCGCTTGGGATGCTCTCCGTAACTGCTGTCAAAGATGTAGAGTGGGCTGTCATCACGCGTGGTTTCCATATACTCGATGTAGTATTTCATCTTCATCTTCACAGAATAACCGTCATTGTCCTCCCCGCACTTGAACTTCTGGTTCCTGTATTTGCGTTTCAGCCGCTCCAGAGTCCACTTCTCCTGGGCAGACCAGCCCACCTGAGCATTCAGCAGGACTACAGGCTTGTAAGGCTTCTCATACCGCTCCACAAACTCCTCCACTGTCAGCTGGAGTGCATCTGCCCTCTCCACATTATCCTGCGAAGCCACGAGAGGAATACAAAGCAGGTATTAGGCTAGACTGATGCCCTAGAACCATGCTAAGTCAGTGTGGAGGAGCTTCACGCTCACACTCTGCTCCATACACCACGAGGGTAGCAAGCTGTTTGTGTGCTATTTTAAGCTCCCTGAGGCTGCAGCCCTATTTCTCATGCACCCGTCCTTGCACATACCACTAACACCAGCAGCCCGGAGCCGTTCAGCACTCCTCCAACCGAGGTAACCCCCGGGTGGAGAGACCACTTCTGCCCCTTGGGCTGATGCAGCCTCTGTTGCATTCACCCCTTCACTGCCCCTGAGGCTCCTGGGAGTTATGTGGGTGCCCCAGCACAGGGAGCGCCCATCCCACCCTGACAGGGCCTGGTCCTTCCCACACCCCCCGCCACGTGGAGCGATGAAAAGCCACGGGTGGTGCTTGACCTCCCACTGCCCATGCCAACCCTCTTCCCCAGGGTCCCAACACCCACAGCCTCAAGAAAGGGCCGTTTTCCCTTGTGGTTCCCATGACAATTCCCTTAGCCACTCTTTCCCCCCAGACCTCCCCAACCGCCCCAGGACTACCTCAGTCATACCCCCCCCCAGGCCTCCTTAAGCACCTCAGGGCTCCCCTTAATCACCTTCTCCCATTCCCCTCAGGACTCCCTCAATCATTCCCCGCCCCCGATTCTCCTCAGGGCCTCCCTAACCCCATCAGGTCCCGAATCTCTCTCCCCCGCTTTCATCTCAGCCTCTCCCGTTACCCTCAGATCCCCTCTCTCCCCTCAGGCGAGGCGGGCCGGGGATCACCTTGCAGGCTGCAGGGCTGAGGGGGAAGGTCTCGCAGTAATTGTGGCGGGTCCAGTCCAGCGAGTCCTTCAGCTCGGGCCGGGCGCTGCGCTTCGCCTCACGGATCCGTTTCTTACTCTTATGATTCATGTTGGCGGCGCTAGGGGCCGCCTCCCGCCGCCGCCGCCGTACTGCGGGCTCGGCCCCGCTCCCGGCCCCGCTCGCCCCGGCGCAACCGCCGCACCTTCGAGAAATTTCACCCCCTTGCCGCCGCTGTCGCCGCGGCTCCGCCCACGCCGCCCTCCCATTGGCTCCCTGCCCCTCCGACTTCCGCTACGCCTGGCCCGCCCGCTGACGCTGATTGGCTGAGGCGGGGAAGCGGCGCTAAGCCGCCATGTTGGTGTTGCGGAAGGCATGAACGGAGCGTGGGCCCCCGGCGCCCTTGGCCTCGCTGCCGGTGGGATCGCCCCAGGACCCCCCCTTCCCCCGGGCCGCTTCTTCCCCGCGCTCAGCGCCCGCTGCTTCCCTGATAGCTGCGAGCCGGCCGCGTGTCCGCAGCTCATGCGGGACTCGCGGTTCCCCTCGCGGCACCGGCCCGCGGGCCCAGCGGTGCGGGTTTAACCGCGACCCCCGGGGGGGTGGGGCGGAAGCTGCGCGCTGAGGGACCCGCCCGCCGCCACCCTGTGACGCTGCCGATTGGTCCGCGCCGCCTGGCGCTACGACGTGTCCGCCCCTGATTGGCCATGGAGGATCCGGATCAGCAGCAGCGGGCCCGCGTGCGGCGGTACCGCTTCACGGCGGGGCGGGAGGCGCTGGTGCTGCGCGTGCCTGAGGTAGCGCGCGGCCCGGGGTAACGCGGGGGTAACGCGGGGCGGCGGGGCCCGGCCCGGCCCCTCAGCGCCGCGCACGGTGTGTTTCAGGTGCCGGACTCGCAATACGGCACGTACGTGTGGCCCTGCGCCGTGGTGCTGGCCCAGTACCTGTGGGCCCGCAGGGGAAGCCTTCCCGGGAAGCGGGTGCTGGAGGTACGCGCCCCTCATCCCTCGCGGTCCCTCTTGTTCCCCCCATTCCCGCTCCATGCCCCCGCTTTGGTTGCAGGTGGGAGCGGGTGTGAGCCTGCCTGGTGTCCTGGCTGCCAAGTGCGGGGCTGAGGTGACGCTGTCAGACAGCGAGGAGCTGCCGCGGTGCCTGCAGAGCTGCCGGAGGAGCTGCCTACTGAATGGGCTGGCCCAGGTCCCTGTCGTGGGGCTCACCTGGGGGCGCGTATCCCCGGAGCTGCTCTCTCTTCCGCCCGTAGACATCATTTTAGGATCGGATATCTTTTTTGACCCCAAAGGTATGTTAATCCTCTCGGGCATCTTTGATTTGTGACAGACTGCAAGGACTTTGCATCCACGTGGTAGTGGGAACACTGTCAAGAGAGCAGGTGTCAGCCTTGATGGTGACACTGTGCTATTAACTTGTTATTCTTGAGGTAATTTAGAATTAAGCTGTTATAAATACCACCAAAGGGTGGGGTGTGGAAAAAGGAGTTATAAACTCACCGCTCAAGGCCATCTTCTAAGGTCCCTATTGACTTCCAATTGCCATTTCATATAGCCAGGCATATTTAACCATACCTAGAACCCAGAGACTAACCAAGACTGCTTCATCTTCCCAAACTACACAGACTTTGAAGATATTTTAACTACAGTTTACTTCTTGCTGGAAAAGAACCCACATGCTCAATTCTGGACTACTTATCAAGTCCGAAGGTAAATACTTTTGTGCATTTAAGACTCAAATCTCAATTCCTGGGCCCCATCTCAGCTCTTAAGGAGTGTTAACTTCCCTGAGGCACCACTGCACCCATTCCAGAGCTTCTCAAGACTGTCCATCAGGCTGCTATTAGCCAAATCATAGGGCGAGTAGCCAAAACAAGATCATGATCATCCATCCAAGAACCACCAATTTGCTGTTGACTAGAAAGTTGTTACCACCTTTGTTTTGTGAAGTGCTGTAATTAAGTTTGGTGACACTGCTGTAATTACCCAGCAGTTACAAACTGGGATTGTTTTCACACACTGGTATTTCCTCCCCTCAGTGCTGACTGGTCTATCGAAGCTTTGCTCTACAAATGGAAACTGAGGAGCAGTCCCATTCCCTTGCACTCCTTTGGAGCAGACAAAGAGCACTTGGCCAGCTCTTCCCTACCAGGAAGACATACCATTGAAATGATGATCATCTCACTAGCACAAGCAGATAGTACTTAAGTTTATTCCACTTGTTTCCAATACAAAATGATACTGAACTGGGAACTGTGTGTTGTAGCACAGACCAGCAGAAAAGAGTCCTGTTCATAGCAAACCTCATGCATATTTGGTGGGAAGCAGATCCCTTTAAGTAATCCTTAAAACATGCATTGTAAAAATAAAGCTGTTTGATTGTTCAGCTATGGCTTGAGAGATTTGTGCTCCTCCCCAAAGACCGCTGCATAGTTCAAAGACTCAATGTCATTTTGTGCGCCACAGTACAACAGAGCAGAACCACCTGACAAGCCAGAAGAGCCAACCTGAACTCACAACTTCAGCTATGAGGAAGAGTTAGCCATACTCCTTCAGTATTAGAGTCAGATCTGTTTCCCAAGATGGAGGCTTCTCCCAGGAGATCCACATACAAAACCCAGCCCCTTTGTTTTTAAATTACTCAGTCTGGTCATGCAGCCCTGGAACATACAAACTCCTCCGTTTGTAGAAAAGTACTTTTAATCCTCAATCAAGCCAGATTGCAAGTATTCAGATGTTTCCATTCCCATTTAACATACATGCATAGAAGTTAACAAAGCATTACAATAACCCTTGACACACGATGGTTTAAGTTACAATTCATTTGGTATCCAAATCAAGAAACAGAAATCATCATTGTAAGATTAGCTACCGCCAAGCAGCAGCCTGTGGCATTAGGGCAAGTACACAGCAAATGTAGTTAGTACTGCTCAGTATCTACCTTCATAACATCCAACAGACCTGTCTGGTTTGGGGTTTGGACTCTGGTATGCACCACTTGCCATACAATGTCTGGGTTAGTCACAATACTGGTTAAAGTTTGCCCTTAGTAATTTCAAAGCCACCCCAGTAGATAAAGTTTGTAGCGGTAGGATGCATTCAGTTACTACAGAGAAGTTAAAACATTGTCAGTGGAATTGGAAAAATCTTTCAAAGCTAAAAATAAGCTGACTCAGACATTAAGTTGAGAAAAGTTAACACAGAAAAAACGTTTAATATTAACTACAGAGACAGTGGGTATAGTACAGAATGTCTTAAGCAAAAGATACACCAATCAGTACTTACAAAGGAATGAACCATTTTTTGTCTTAACATTACATTTCTCGTATATATAAGTTCATATATGTAGGTTGGTAAAGTTTTACCATTCTGGAAAAAATAAGGTGTGTATATCATCAGCTAGATGTGCTCACTGTATGCTCCATTATTTATACGCAAGGCCCGGGTGACTGGAAGTGCAGTTGTCAGGCATTTTAATTAACTGGACAGCCATTTGTTTCTGCACGACAAGGCATCGTTACACAGGAGCAATCAGGAGAAAACAGGAAACAGCCAAGCACTCTGCACTGCAACACGCCACCTTAACAGCTAACCAGCATTACTCAACTGCTACACAACTGCGCCTAGTGCACAAAAATACATAAGAGAAGAGATTAGAATTGAGGCTGATAAAACAATCCTTTTCAAATATTAACTGTCACCTGAAAAGATTTCTATCAATTTGAATTTAAAGATACTATTTAAAGTCAAAGTAATAATAATTAAAAAAAAAAAGCATTTACAGTTAAGTTTCAAATTGAAGTCTGGCAGGGTTTTATTTAAGGAATGAAGACAAAATTGAAAGTCGTTTTTGACAAGAGTTAGCTACTCAGCATGTAATGGCTGCCCGTTTCCTCAGTATGAAACTGGAGGCAGCAAGTTACCATCAGTTTTAATTTGAAATAGAAGTCAGCACTATATAAACAAAAATGAAGTTTTACCTCAAATATCCAAGCCAATAATGAAATCGGTAGTCGTTCACTTCACTAAATTACAAGAAATTTGAATAACAGCAACAAAATGGCACATAAAATGTAAAATCTGCCACTTGAGGCGCAACTTAAACAAGTAAAAAGTTAGACAAAATGTTACAAAATAACCTTTTCATCAGCTGGTTGCTCGGGCCAGGGCTCTCCAAGGGACTGAAGACTCAAGCGATCCTTTCCCCCCAAAGGCGTCCTTTATGGAAGCTCTCATTTATGTGATGCATCTAGGTTTGAAGAAAGAAAAGTTCAGCCAGGTTTCTACCTTGTCTCTCTTGGTTGTGGGGATGACTTCAGGTATACTCCTAGTTGTGTTTCAACTGGCTTTGCCTAATTTAATTAAGCTTTAGGAATTTCCATAGTGCTCCACCTCCCCCCCCAAATGTGTTGCTTTACTTCAGAGGCCAAATGCAAGGTTCTGTATCAGAATATGTAGTTACAAAGAAGAGTAAGCATCAGGCTGGAGATCAAGCCACCATTAACTTCAATTCAGCCTGTTCAACAATAGATTATGAAAAGTTATATAAAAGTTATAAAACTAGTATTTCTTAAAGACTTAACTAAACTCTAAGTAGCATTCAAAACACAAAAGGTGACTAATTTTGCTACAGTTATCTAACTTCAATTCTAGCTTAGGCCCTTTCCTTTCAAAAACAGGACCAAACAGTTTGAAGGGTTAAAGACACACTATCCTTTCCCCACCCGGTGTGTATCCTTAGAAGCCTCTTCAAGATGTCAACTTGAGGAAAAAACCTAGTTTCCGTGGTTTTCTCGTTGCAATTTGCCACTTTTCTAGAACAGTTATTACCTCCAGTCAGTTTAACGGCCACTGAACCGATCTTCCGTTATAAAAGGATAGTGTATCTTTAACAGTTAAAGACAAACCTGCTCCAATACACGCCCACAGAAACTGGTCCCTGGAGGATCAGCCAAATCAGTTAAAATCTGCAATACTGGCCAATATTCTTTTAGCAAACAGGAGACCGCAGCTTTAAAGGGGAAAATGCAGATGTTGGATAAATACAGTAAGAAATAGTCATTTTTCATCATAGGTTGCGTCTCATACAATATTTTATTAAAACCAAGCCATTAATCTCTCAATAAAACATTTTCTCTGTTTAAAAAGAAAATCCATGTAGAAAGCCCTTTGGTATTAATTTCCCTAAACCAATAACCAAAAATGCACTGCTCAAGAAAATAAAAACCAACTAACAATGTGCCCCGTTAGGATCCACTTGCTTCAGGCTATTAATACTCTACAAACTACCCAACACCCCACCTAAGTACTATAATAAAGTAACATGCAACATATGCTGACCCTGAGATACATTACCATGCTCCTAGGAGGATACAGCTCCTTCTTCTTCCGGAGACTTAGGAGGGCTCTTAGATCTGGATCTAGAGTTGGATTCCCTCTTTGAGGCTGGGGGAGGGCTTCTAGATCTGGACCGGGATCTAGACCTGGACCGGGATCTGGAGACAGATGAGGACTTTGATTTGGATCTCCTGGCAGACCTGGACTTGGAGGTGGAGCGAGACCGAGAGCGTGTGCGAGACCGGGATTTGGATCGACTGTAACGGGACCGACTGCGGGATCTAGAGCGGCTCCTGCTTCTAGATCGGCTGCGACGGCGTCTTCTAGGGCTGAAACACACCAGGAGGGGGAGGAAAGAAAGGCACGTTAGAAGTTGAACAGGGGCGGCGCAACAGACTCCAATGACTACTTCAGGACAGGGAGGGCGGAACGGGACCCACGTGGGCAAGAAAATGAGTGTTCCGAGGGCGCCATTGTTCGGAGTGAGTGGCCGGGGGCTAAATCTACTACAGCGCAAACCCCTTCCGCTCCGAGGAAACTCCATGTGCCTTCCCTACTAAACCCCAACTCCCCGCTCCAAACCCCGCCCCGAAAGTCACTCGGAAAAGGACACAGACCCAAGGGCCCGCACCACACAGCCACACGCCCGAGGCCCGTCTAACTGCTGAAACTCCGCACCCCTCCCGGCGCTCACCTGCGGCTGCGGCGGCCGTAGCCGCTGCTCCCGTAGCGGCGCGGCGGCGGGCCCCGCCGGCTATGGTGCGAGTCAGGGGGACGGCCGTAACGGGCCATCTGCACTCGGAGCTCGCGGCCGTCCAGCACGGCCCCGTCCATGGCATCCATGGCATCTTCGGCATCGCGTTTGTCGTGGAAACGAACGAAGGCGAAGCCGCGGCTCTCCTTGGTGTAGCGGTCCCGCGGGATGTAGACGTCGCCCACACGGCCGTACTTCTCGAAGACCCTCCGGAGCGTGTCCGGGGAAGTACGGTAGGTCAGGTTGTCCACCTTGAGGGACGTCATGCCCTCCACGTCCGGCGGCGGACGCCCGTAACTCATGGCGGGCAACAGCCCCCGGGGGGCGGCGGCGGCTGAGGAGAAGAAACCCGAGGAAAGGGAAGAGGGAGCGCCTTACGAGACGGCGCGGCCCTCAGAGGGAAGCGCCTCACACCGGAGGGGGAGCGCCGGAGCGGCGGCCTAGAAGAGTCCAGAAAGGAGAAGAGGTGCAGGGCATAGGGCAACGCCGCAAGGTCCTCAGCGAAGAGGGAGGCGCAGGCACCCACCTCGTTGCTCGGGGCGGGGGCAGAGCAGGCGGCCTAAGGCCGGAGCGGAGGCGCGGCGCCAACAGCGGCCGCCCCTACCCGCCGCTGGGAGGAAATGAGCGGGCGCCGCCCGCGCGCGGGTACTTAGCGCCACAAAATGGCCGCCGGCGACCCGGAAGTGAAAGCGCCCGCCCCGTGGCCGCCTCCCTCCCCGAGCCCCGTTTTCGTTTTCCTTATTATTATTATTGTTCGTTTCTTTTTTCACTGCCTGCCGCGGATCCCGGAGGAGCGCAAGCGGGAAAGCGGCTGCTAAATTAATAACTCTCCCGTTGTTCAAAGTGATCGTTGAGGCGGCTCCGCCGTTGACCCGGAAGGGCTCGGCGGAGGCGGGGAAATTTTGAACAATGTGCTCTGAAAACGGTAAAAAAAAATAAATAAATAAAAAATTAATCTAAAATCCTAACGGAAACAGGGCGGGGGCTGGGGGAGGGGAGGGGCGGGGAACGCCGCCGGGCGGAAAGGGAAAGTAGCGATCCCGAAGGGGATGGGCCCTCGCGCGGGTGGGCGGGGAGGCGGCTCAAAATGGCGGAGCGCTGTGAGGGGAGGCGGGCTGGAGCGGTGGGGCGGGTGCTGTGAGGGGAGGCGGGCTGGAGCGGTGGGGCGGGTGTTGTGAGGGGAGGCGGGCTGGAGCGGTGGGGCGGGTGTTGTGAGGGGAGGCGGGCTGGAGCGGTGGGGCGGGTGCTGTGAGGGGAGGCGGGCTGGAGCGGTGGGGCGGGTGTTGTGAGGGGAGGCGGGCTGGAGCGGTGGGGCGGGTGCTGTGAGGGCAGGCGGGCTGTGGTCTTGAGGGGTAGGCAGTGCTCTTCGTGGGGTGTTCTTCACCTCCTGCCCACAGCAGTGCCTGGGGAGGCCGCCTCGGTCTGTGCGGCGCTGGATGTGGGCTGTGGTGCGGTGGTAGAGCCCTCGTTGCGAGGCGATCTCCCGCGGCTGCACCCGTCTGTGTCCGGGAGCTGCGAGTCGAGCTGGGAAACGTCAGCTACCCTCATGTACACACCGTGTGCTCTGTGGGGCTGTGCTTTGTTAAAGTGGGAACAAGGGAGATTAGCACAGCCCGTGTGTAAAAGTGACAGATTCACAGAGTTTTGTAGGGAATAACGTGAGAGCTTCCCCCTCCCAAAAAGGTGTTGCTGAGTGACTACAGACACTGAATCAAATTTCCAGGCTCCAAATGTAAATTCTAATACCTGGTTCTTCTCTTAATACAATAAGTGTGTCTATCCATCTGTTCCGTAGTACTGTGTTAAGAATAGACAGAGACAATAGTGATTTATTCAGTGAAATGATAGCATTAACAATGAGAAAACAAACTCAGAATTTAAATCCTCCTCCTTGCTGCAATCGCGTTTAATATTTTTTGCACTGAAGTATAAAAATAAGCAGTGACATCGACAGAAACCCGGAAGCAACAGGACTTCAGGAAGTCAAATAAACTGGTACTGATTTTCACACTGCATTGCTTTGTGCTGTATTTGTTCTGGTTTTTCCCAGATAATTTTGCTTTAAAATTGTAATTCGTCTCCTCAAATGTGAAGTTTCTCTTTACAATGATTTCCCTAAAGTGACAGAGAGGGTTTCCTGTGTCTCTTCTTCCCCAGGTTCAGTGACTTCAATACAAGCTGTTACCAAAAGGATTGCTCCAGTGCACCAGCCCAGTTTGCTGTGCAGGCAGATGAATCCTTATGGTGGCACAAGAGGAAGAGGCATGAGTGGGACACAGAGCCCAGAGGATATTAAAAGGCTGGTACTATAAATTCATAGTTTAAAAAAGGAAGAAGAGAGCTTTGCTTGTGTTAAACACCTCCCCACGCACACCTTGATAGTCTAATAGGAGGCCCAACAGGGCAGACAGAAGACAGTGACAGTGAAAAGCAGCCATTCCATGTGATCGAGCCTCTTTTGGCTTTTAACAGAGATGTTCACAAGTTAAAGTTCAATTGCTCTGAAGTTTATTATTTAGAAACAATGTGAAGTATAATAGTAAGGGCATGTAATTGATAATTATAATGCTGTTCCTTGAGATAAGGCAGTGAAAGATTATGAAGACTCTTTTCTATCCTGTGTCACTGGGAGGATGACAGAAGCACCATGGAGAGCTTGTGTGCTGATGGCACTGAGTTACGTGTTTTTTCCAAGGTGGGATCATTTCCCCTTTGGAATAACTCTGTGTGGATTCAGTGGATTAAACAGTTGTCTTAGATGATTTCCTGAGGCTTTTCTTGCATTGCCAGGTGTTATTTAGTGGATAGAGATTACAAGTCTTAGACAAGTACAAATCATTTTATGTTAAGGATTAGCAGATTACCACCCCTTTAAGCAGCAGAGGTATACTTCATAAAACTGCATTTCCCAGAGTGCACACAGGCTGGGTCAGCTGATGTAGATTGGGAAATGTTCCTTATTTCCTGTCCAACATGCATGGAAATGACTCCCGTGGACGAATGTCTCATCTTTTCTTTGTCAGGTGATTTAGAGGCTGTGTTCTGGAATTCGGATTTCAAGCAATGGCAAGCAACTGAGCTGATGAACTAGCTTGATACCTTGGAAACTTCTTCATCTGGGGGAAGGTGATGTCATGAAGGAGTGACACCCTGCAGTCTGCTCTGTTAACTTCATGGGAAAAGGTAGAGAATGTGGGTCTTTACCCTTTGTACCAGACTTTTCTTTGGTGTTTGCTTTTCAAGTTACTGATTTTACTGTACAATATTGAAGAGCTGGTTGATGGTTATGTCCTAACAGCTGATAAGTAGCCCGCAGTAATCATCATTTTTTAAGCTTTCTTTTTTTTTCTTTTATTCCTTTTGCTTGTTTGTTTTTAACAGCAGTTAAGAGGAAACTTTTAAAGGAAAAGAGACTTTCCAGACTGAAGCTGAGGCCTTGGCAAGAAAACACAAGATGTCTCCTGAATCCAAAAAGCTTTCCAACATCATTATCTTGGGAGTCTCATTTATGCTTATATTCACTGCTTTCCAAACCTGTGGAAATATTGCGGTAGGTGTGGATTTCAAAACATGCCAAGTTTTCTGTCACAGTTATTCATCCTTCATTGCCTTTTGTGTACTCTAAGAGGTACTTTACATGGCATTTCTTAGTGTGGAAGACACCTTGACATTTTATCTCTATTGGTTCTGTGTTAACTAGATGAAGTTGGTGAACTGGATAATTAAGCAGTTTAAGATAGCAGTGCTACACATGGTACTGTGCCTGATTGCTTAGAAAGGAGAAAATTAATCTTACCAAATGTTTGCTGTTTAAAATAGTGTCTGTTTTGACACTTGAACAATTGAATTGCATGGGACTTGTCATATTTCTGATTATTCCATATAGTCTCCTTCAAAATATTTGCCGAAGTTGTTATTATTAACTATGCCCTTGAGTGTTTTTCCTAATCTAAATGTATTTTTCTGTTCTAACAAACTAGATATTGAGGGGGAGTATGAGGATAACATTTGACAAGGAGTCAGACTTCCGTAATTGCTACAACTGCCAAGTCACCATCTGAAAAAGTAATTTACTGCTTTAGTAGTGTGTATCTCTTTGTGTGCTGAAGCAAAATTGAGCATAACAATCCAAATTTACCATTAAAAGCAGATTGCACTCTAACTGCTTGCAGTTTTAGAATCCTGCTACTGATATACTCAGTCCAGATCCTCTAACTTACGGAGCTGTCAACGTTGCTTTCAGTATTAGTAATGTGCCTGAAGGACAGTTAGATTTCAACATATCTCTTGAGCCTACTGGTCTTGCAGCTTCTCTTTTCTTGCGTGCAAGAAGAATCCTTCCTGGGTTCAGACGTATAAATGTCCTTCACTGCTTTATAGGAGTAACTACTTTAGAATGGTTTTTGTAAGTGTCATTTTCAGCATGACACTGGATGTCAGTACAGCCCAGGAATCTGAGAAGTTCTGCAGTGAATTGAGAGCACCTCACTAAATTACACCCAGTGATCATGCAATCATGTAATTTATAGTCATTAAAGTCATTCCAGGTGACTTGCAATCAGATCTGCCCACCAAGCCAACTGATTCCGTGGTCTCATGATCATTAAATGCTGATTCAAGGGAAAAAAATAGGAACAGGGAAATAACAGGAAACCAGAAAGAACGGAAACTCTAATCAGAAGCTCAGAGTTAGGCCAAATGGAGAGTATTTTGAAACTTCTCCTTTTTTCCCACTTTTTAAATTTAGATAGTCATACAAATCTACCTTAGAGAGGCATTCGGTGAAACAAAACTTCTGTGAATTATTTTAAGGTCTCTGATGAAATCATGATATACTGGTTACTACTACAAACGTTTTCCTGCCAAGTATCTCCTTCACCTTCATTGTGGAGGTGGTGTGAGTTGTAATTAACACTTTAAGTACTTTGTAGAGTCTATTAATGATCAATTCTAATGTTTGATACTGACTTCAAACTGATGCAAGTGTTCTCAGACTACAAGATATATTCTAGCATATGACAATGTATGATTTTCTCCTCACAGCAAACTGTTATCACAAATTTAAACAGCACGGACTTCCATGGCAGTGGCTACACAAGGTAATTTACACAGATCTTACTTTGCTCCTTGCAGGGTGAAGGCAGTTATAATGCCATCTGGTAGAGATATATTCTCAAGAGATTGTAGCATTCTGCTGACTTTGAAATTTAGTGACATACTCAAAGGAGTTTTAAACAGGCTTCTCACATTCACGCCAGTTCTACTTTGAATTACGTCTAGTTGAACTACAGATCTGTTTTGCATGTTCTCTTTCTAGGGAGAAAACCCACCATATGGTCATCACATTGTCAGCATTTTGTCTTAGGAGAGGAAGAATGTGGAAGTTTTAAAATAAATAAAACTGCTCACTAAGCCCTGCTTGTTTGCCTTTAGAATCATAGAATCAGAAACAACCAGGTTGGAAACAATCTTTAAGATCATCAAGTCCAGCCGTTCCCCAGCACTGCCAAGGCCACCACTAACCCGTGGCACTGGGGCCTTGTCTACACAGTGTATGAACACTTGCAGGGAGGGTGACTCGAGCCCTGCCCTGGGCAGCCTGTTCCAATGCCTGAGCACCCTTTGGGGAAAGAATTGTTC